TTCTGCCAAGAGAACCCATGAAATATGAATTCTTCAATCTTCAAATCGATTGTAAATCAGTGCTAGTCGAACTCATCATGCAAAATTCCAAAATCTACATTGTATTCAAACAGTTGACCCATAATTCCTTTCAGGGAAATGCAGTCAACTCAGCTGGTTAGTATAAACGCGCTGCGCTCAGAAACTGTCCATTTATTTATTTATTTTATTTATCCAACTTTGCCTCGAGTTCAAAATACACAACAAAAAAACGTAGTAGTRGTTTTGAATTTAGGAGCATGTTAGTTATCATAACGAAATAGTTTAAAACTAACGGCTCACAGCGAATTTTAATCAACCCAATATTTAACTATTATTCGCCGAAGGGGAAGTGAATATCAGGGAATATTTACCGAGACGCTGTTATTTAACTCTGCAAGCGGCACAAATCGACAAACGAACGAGCGAGCGCGCGCGCTATATTGGCCTGTAGGTGAATAAAGCAGCATAAGACGTAAATTGTGACCAATGAGCGTGCCCAATTTATTATATTCACTTGTGTAAAAATAGTAATTTGGAATGTCAATTGGTACGAATCTTTTCAAATTCCATTATTCGAAAGCGAGTTTTCAACAGCGTCGTCACAGACGCCATTAAAAATTCGCAAAAATATAAYAYGTTCCACCGATACATAGGTCAAAAACTTTAACTATAGAGATTATTAGATCCTTAATTAAGGGGTATTCCAGTAAAGATTTAGCTGAATTAAAGTTCGGACGATTGTCGTAATATTTCCCCTTTATTGTTTGCTTCTTCGTATTTGAAATTGAAAGGTAGCATTCCGAGAAAACTCCATTGAGCCACATTAAAGCATTAATGAAAAAGTTTATTGATTTAATTAAGAACGTTCATGGGCAAAAGTTCCTATCGTCAGATTTTTTAAAAATTTTGCACGATGGAAGAACATCATAATAGAAGTAAAATAAGCAAATACAAACTAATGGGGGTCCCAGACTTCGTTTAGCCGTCAGAATACGTGGTCGAAGTTCACCCTTTCTATGGTAAAAACAAGCGAACAAGTTAAACATGAAAGGCTGTCAAAAATAAGTCAAAATAAGATTTCACAGAAGACTAAAAAAAGCCAAAAAACTATAGTTAGCATTTGAAATTTTTGTTAAAAATTATAAATATGAAATGTTATTGTGCTATAAGTGCGGTAGACTTGAAGTCTTCGCGTTAGATGAAATTATATTCCAATTATACACAAAATATGTAATTTCGCTTTTGAACCCATTTTGTCAGATTTGTAATTTTCTCTCTCTCTAAAGTTAGGTATACCGAGTACTTAAAAAAAAAGAAATAAAAAATGGGGGTGATTTACTTTGTTTTAGAGCTATAATCGGATTAAAGACGTTATTATAATATTTTGCTTATCAAAGCATTGGAATGACGTCATCACGCTGAGCACGCGCTCACTAAATTCGTGCGTAGAAAGGATGCGCGCGAACAATGCACATGAACGTCCGTGAGAAGCTTTCTTTTCTTTCTTTATCATTACGTAGGAAATATATTTTATGTGCTAAGTAAATAACCAAGTAAATATCACTTTAATACAAGGCAAGTTACTCATGCATCAGTCATTTGAAACCCCAGGACCCCTCATTGGGGGATACCCGGGGCATTCACTTTTGCTGTGCGTGAAAGCCAGTGAAAGCCCTACTCCCCGGGAACAGAATGCGTGGTGAACTCCCCCGCCCTTAAACAGTTTAGGTTATGTATGACAAAAATCGCTCAAAAAAAATTTTCAGCTGAATCCAAGTTTGGGCGATTTTCGTCAGAGTAGCACTTTAAAGGAATTATGTAAAACGATTCGCCCAATTTTGACCTGCTCTAAACTAAGGAGAGATTTTTTGCCATCCCTGCAATCAATGAGTTCACTTCTACTTTGTCCTTTATTTTTCGATTGCACGTTACGTCATCGCGGCCTCTCTGGGGAGCGTTGGTGCCATTTAACAAAAGATTTCTGATCAGCATCCATTTTTAACGGCACCACGATATTTCAAAAAATATATAAAAATACCGACGAAGTGTTTGGACGGCATAGATACATTTCTATGTAATTATGCAGTGTTTTTATGCTCATAATATTGTTAGTATATGAAAAAAAGCCCTGAAACTTAGTCAATAAGTTTGCTTGAAGCTGGTCTTTTATGTGATTGTGTAATTTTCTACAATACTCTAATTATTTGATTTTCAAGCTAGAACCAGTCCCTTGCTTGTTGTTTTTCACTAGCTAATATACAATGTAGGTGTAGGCCAGCTAGGCGCCTTTATGTGATAGTTCTTTTTGTGCGTACGATAAAAACATGTATAACATGTTAATTAAAATCGAAAATATAATTGACAAATATATTTAGAGAGGGTTACATTATAACCTCGTGCCCCTCAGTCTAGTTTAACGTCTGGATATCAGACGGGAGAGCCATACATTGTCATTCAATTAAGTCAAAGCGAAGAAGTTATGTTTTAGTTATAGGCAATAGGCAATAGGTCTAATCGTTAGTTAGGTTTTAGTCTAAACCTACTGAACGGTGAAATAAATGGGTTTAAAAAAAGGTTAAAAAGGCAAATTAGACTCCAAAGTTCTGGTTTTGAAACCAGCTCTTTTCGTTACTAGTGGCCCTATCGCCAATAAACAAGCTCAGCTAATCAGAGCGCAGGATTTGTGATAGCTCATTGTAGTGTTTTAAACTAGCTGCAGATAGTTTAAGGTCAACCTTATTATGATTGATAATTTTACGTGACTTAATTCGGAAAATTAAAACTTAGTTGTGGTGCGAAGAGTTTCAATCGAAAGAATATCATTTCAGAAATAGCTTTGTTAAGGTAAAAAATTATCTTAACAAGCCCCACTATAGTGTCTTTTTTGAAAGGCAGGCCGTGGAAGAGATTGTATTGCTTGTTTGGGACCGAAACAATCTACCAGTCCTCCAGCAGCCTTGCTTGCATAGCTACCAGTGGGAGGCCTTTGTGTTGTGGTAGACACAACACTTGGACCACCTTGTTCTTGTCCCTTGGAGCTTGATCTGTAAGATATATGGGAAAGGCAACGTTATAGTTCTATTATATCAACAAGAACTGACTGGAAACGAATAGAAAAATAGAACAAAACAGGACCAAGAGTTTTGCGTGGACGTTTCACCCCAGAGACAAATGAATTTACAGATCAGTTTTGAGAAATTTTATTTCCCGCAGGTACCCAGAAAATATCCACCAGGTCCGTCCTAGCTAGCTAGCACTGTAAAACTGCTGGCGCGTCGATGCATGCACTGAATAAATCTTTCGTTCTGGCTCATGATCAGATGCACGATTGCCGATTGACCAGGCTAGATAAAATGAACATTTTAATATATGTAGTTGTATAATACTATCGAGCTCGACAAATACAGCCTGATCTCAAACCGAATGAACGAAAAATCACTGGGAAATGAAGATATTTATGGCATCTTTTTTACTTTCCGGTTTTGAAGACTTGACTATTTCTTTTGGTATTTTTATGAAATTGCATTGCACAACGAACTGTGACCGCGAGCAGAGTTTCACAAATTGAGACACAAATTTTGTGTTTGCGTGACATAGCAACGATAACTAAGGGGAGTCGGAACCCATGGGCGTATGTGTACAATGACGAAATTTTTTTTTGGTTGATTGTTATTTAAATGTTGCCAACCAAAAACCTATTGGACAATCCAAAAAAGCAAAGTGACAAAACCTATCGTTAAAATGGATGTTGGTACAACATCACAATAGCAATGTTTATATACACCAAATTGAAAAATCTTTGTCGTGTTGTGAAAAGGTTAAATCATCGAAGCTAAGACCGAAAGGTGTTCTGGGTAAACATTTAATGAGGTTAATATTATGCATATTGAAGCTCGAAGCTCTTGAATACTGACTCAAGTTACCAAACAAAGAATTTGTAACTCTTTATGCATGTGTCTGTCTGAATAGCCCACTTCCGAAATATGCTTCGATTGTCACACACAAAGGTTTCAGTACGGGGATGCTTGCGAAATTAAATGTATTCTTTTCTCCTGTTACGAATCACTTACCATTATGCACGAAGGCTCGCATTGAAACCTTTGTGCGTGACAAGCGAAGCATATTTCGGAAGCCGGCTATTAACATACTACATACTCCGAAAATCATCTCGACAACTACAAATCGAGATTCTTTCTGGCATATAGCACACAGGAATCCCAATTGTAAAGATTAGTCTTACTGCTCGCCTGATGGCTCGCAGCAAATGATGCATATAGCATGTTTTACTATGGGTTTTAAGAAATGCTTACCCTTGCCGTAGCTTGCGGTTTGTTTGTTTCAATATAGCTTTTAGTTGATCTACTGCCATGCCCATATGCTTTCCTAACTTCCCCTTTTCTTTCAAGTTCATTTTATGCTTTCCTAACTTCCCCTTTTCTTTCAAGTTCATTTTCGCAGCATCTATGATCTCTTCTGTCAAGGATGGATGAGCAGTTTCGTTCCCACCCATTTTGATCGATTTTAGTTGTTTTAACAAATATTCGTCCCACTTGATTGCTTTCTTTATATCTTTCCATCTTAACCTTGCTTTATCTTGTTCATCTTTGTCTTCAATTTGCCATAAAATGTAATTTTCCATATGCTGAGTCCTTTTGTTTTGAAATTTGTCGAAATATTCCTGGAGTACAATCTTCAAGAGATTTTCCTGAACGCTTGAACAGAGTTGCCGAATAACCAACTCCTCTTCAGATAGCTCAAACTTGTTGATTTTTTCATGTAATTTTCCAAGCTCTGTCTTCAATTCTCCGATTTCCGTCTTGGCTTCATTGGCTTCCTTTTCGTGGCTATTTTGTAAGCCTTCTATTTTCTTCTTCAACTCTTTGATTTCCGTCTTGGCTTCATNGATTTCCGTCTTGGCTTCATTGGCTTCCTTTTCGTGGCTATTTTGTAAGCCTTCTATTTTCTTCTTCAACTCTTTGATTTCCGTCTTGGCTTCATTGGCTTCCTTTTTGGCATTGTCATCAATTTCTTTCATTTGTTTTTCAAGGACTTTTTTGCTCTCTTCTAAGTCTCCCGTTTTCCTCTCCAACTCTTTGATATTTTCTTGCAGGGTATTGTTTTCTTCTTTAAGTGTTTTTATTTTTTCTTCCAGGTCATTGATTTTGGTTTGACAACTCTCATCATGGTCTTTCAGTTTCTCTTTTAATTTTCTTACCTCTTCTTTCAATTCATTTTGGATTCTCTCGTTTTTCTTGATATCATCTTTCAGACTTTCTATGTAATTTGTCTTACTTTCCTCGGCCATCACTGAAGCTGCCCTAAAGATAAATGTACGTAAGCAATAATGGTATTAGAATGAAAAAAAAGCATTCACCATAGCATTGTAATAAATGATACTTATTCGTTTGTCTCACGTGAGGGTCTTTTGGTAGAAAGGATCGCACACAGTCATTCTACGAATGACCCTCAATCATGAGACAAACGGATAACATCATTTATTAATAATACTGTAATGGTGTTAGATGGAATAAGTGAGGTGAAAGCTTTCATTAAAAGCGTCGCAAGTCGTATTCAGTATTATAATAACTGGTATAATAGTTTTACAATTTGTCCTTTGAGTAGTTTTATAAATTGGTGTTTATGGGCTTTATATGTTTATATCTATATTAATATTATTGATTATAGTTATTATTGTTTATTTATCATTGTTTATAGTTTTTATAATTGTTAGTTTTATAATAGTATTATTATTAACTTATTCAGTCTTAGTATTTTCCAAACCAGCACGTTTTGCAGCGCAGTATTTCTAATAAAGGCCATAGATAGTTTTCACATGACGTCATCAGAAAGCTAAAATCAAAACTATTATTCATTACACAAAACCGTTTGTTGGATATTTTCAACCTCGTTCCCAGGGCCCTCACACGCAGAGGAGAGAAGACCCTGGCGTTGGCTGGTCACGTGACAAATCCGACACCCAGCATATTCGGGTGTTTTGAAAATACCGCTGAAGAAATAACTGGAGGATTGCGGGCACACTGAATAAGCATAAATTGAATATGGCTGTCAACTCGAATAAACATGTTGAGTTTTTAACAGTGCTTCGACGTGTGGAATTTGCTATAAAAAAGGCAATTTTCCTTCTTTGAATTTTAAACCTCTTCAACTTAAATATATACTCAAAGGCCAGGATATCATTGGTGTCCTACAACCGGTTTTGGAAAGTCCATGCTTTTTCACTTACTACCACATTTCATTCCTGTCAGAAAAAGTAAAAACATTGTAATCGTAGTATGTCCTTTAAACTCAATCATTGAAGACCAGCTTAGAGTTTTGAGAGACRGGAATATAACCTCTGATGCGCTACAACTTGCAGAAAACTGCGAACCTATCGAAAACTTGTTTGGTGAARGTCAAGAATCAAGCGAGGCGAGCATGTAGAACCAAAGCTGAAACATCTTCSCGCAGACTTGATGAATGGAAATACCTCAATTATATTTGCCCATTCAGAGGCTTTGTTAAGTAAGGAAGGACGAGAACTGATGGGAAGTAAAGTCTTTCAAGACAATGTTGTTTCTTTCGTGGTTCATAACGAGGCTCACTGTGTTAACTTATGGTAGGTAAGGTTTTAATGTTTTATACTATCATTTTACGATAACACAATATTTATATATTTAKGTGATATTTTTATTAAACCTTGATAGAACGTGTATTTCACCATAGCTTATATTTTACCAGAGTTWATTAACTCTGATTCTACACACTTATACGGTACATTATTCCGCTCAGAATAAACTCTAATTTGAGCTATTTTTTCTCGCTCAGTCGTGCTATGGCGCGCCAAAAAATCACAACAAAGCAACAACCAATCAAAATTCAGGATCAAGTAAACCAATCAAAACCTTTATTTGACCAGCCAAYGCCAGGGTCTTCTCTCCTCTGCGTGAGAGGGCCCTGGGAACGAGGTCTCCCATTGTTAACTTGGGCAACAATTTGTCACAAAAAAGCAGGGTACGGACCAAAATCCTGAGTTTTTTAAAGATTCTGGTGATTTTGATTAGCATTTTCCATGATTCTGCCAAGAGAACTCATGAAATATGAATTCTTCATTCTTTGAATTGATTGTAAATGCTGGTCGAACTCAATATTCTTTTATTTGTTTTATTTATCTAGCTAATTGCCTCTAGCTCCTGAAAATACGAAAAAAAAAACCCCGTAGTAGTAGTTTTGAATTTAGGAGCATTCAACAGTAAAATGTTTCTAAAAAAACTAAATGAGCAATGACTTTTGTGAATATATAGCTCTGAA